ATAATTCAAAAGTTTTTATAACTTTGGTACTGGTTTTGAACCAATATCATTTTATATTCATGGTAAAAATACCAGTTGCAATACCTGTTTTAGAAGTGAAAAAATCATCACAAATATAAGGAACAACAATCGGCAGTAGAAAATTTGTCACAAACGCGCATAAAAACACTGATATATAATTATTAGGCAATCATATCTCATTAACTATTGTCTAAAACTTAATATGTTAAACGATTATCACTTCCAGAACCGAAGGTGGTCCAGCCAGAAGAAGATACTTCTATGTGACCCTGCTTCGTGAGCCTGTTGCTCGTTATTTGTCGGAATACAGGCACGTGCAGCGCGGAGCGACGTGGAAGAATTCCAGGCACTGGTGCAATGGTCGAAATGCGTCCAGTATGTGAAACTTTTAATCATCTTTATATAACCGCTATTTTTTTAATCAACTACACATCGAAATGTTGACGAAAGCAATATATAAAGACTTGACACAGTTTATTACCATATTTATTATCTACAGTTCGGGAGCTTCCGCCTTGTTATACTGGTCCCACATGGCATGGTGTGGATTTGGATAGCTTTATGGCATGCCCAAGTAATTTGGCTGCAAATCGACAAACAAGAATGTTAGCAGATTTGTCCAAGGTTGGTTGCTATAATACTTCAGCCATGTCGAAGACTGAACGGGATCATTTGATGTTGGAGAGCGCCAAACGCAATTTAGCGTCCATGGCTTATTTTGGATTGACTGAACACCAGAAGGTAACTAACTTAGATGTAAAATTTATAATATTTTACATTTTGAAAATAATTTTTTGTTTTTCACTAAAATTATAATCATGTGTCCTTTTATATCTTACAAACACACTTATAATTTTTATATCTATATTAACGATTAGACGGTGTATGCTCCCAATAAGGTGCCTATGCATATTATTCCAAACTTTAATGAATTTTCTACGTGATATCACTTCTGTTTTTTCTATTATCTTTAGAAAAAAACACCGTGAAGTGATTAAATGTCTATTTGAATTGATAACGAACCTACTGGGTTGTTTACTACAGCGTTTGTAGAAACCTGGAATAAGTTCCTTTGACAACATCTTATAGAACCCACGAAGCTCTGATTGATAGTCAGCAAACAAACAAGCCTAAGTTGTTAATATTAGGGTGAATTTATATTCAAACTTAACCCTTACGTTATGTTAGTGTTTTTCTCAGCAGTGATACTCAATTCGTCCAATAGCCCTACTGAACGGACTAGACAACGAAAGAGTTAATGAGTCTGGTTTTGTTATTTGCATTACATATTTTATTTACTTTTTTAAGGTGGCACAATACGTATTTGAAGAAACGTTCAACATGCGGTTCGCCATTCCCTTCGACCAGCATAATGCCACGGTGTCCAGTGCGGCTTTGAATTCTGTCACCAGCGAACAAGCACGCAGAATTCACGAACTGAATTCATTAGATATCCAATTATACGCATTCGCTAAGAAATTGATGTTCCAAAGATTTGAAAAACTAAGGCTAAAGATGCAAATTTTGAACAAAGGTTCGCCCATCTCGGCGAACTGGCTAATCTTCGCAGTGGAGTTACGGAATTTGATTGGGATAATAATTTAGAAGAATTGACGACGCCGTACAAGATTTTGTAGTTTTTGGAACAAAATAATATATCTGATAGATATATCATTGCTATGTAGTCATTTTGCCTCAGATAATGATGCATCATTAAATTTTGGCAATTTGTTCATAATACTTGATATATCCGAAGTCCTGTGATCAACAAAATTGTTCACTTGGTTTGTATATAAAATTTTAATAATACGGTAAAGTATAATATTTTTCAAAAAAACTGGTTTTATAGTATTGTAAACTATGGAACCTAAAACAAAAATATGTCGAAATGATATATGTGGTATAAAATATTCGTTTTGATTAGTCAAGGTGAATAAAAAAAACGTAAAAGTAAATCAAGATCTTTAATGATTGATTTATCATGTGACAACAAGACAGCTCATTGGTGTATTTGATAAAACTATTACTACAATTACTTAAGTAATCAGTCAGTAAAATATTATATACTCATATAATAGTTAGTGTAAGTGTAATAATTACCATAAAGATATATATGTGCACATATAAGCCTATAGTATTAGGTCAAAATAAACTTTTATTTTATGTTGTGAATAGAATAAAAATACCAAACAAGGCTATGTGATTATGTATTGTGAGATTATGTATGTTAATATGATTTTATAATGTTTAAGATAAGGTAAGAATATGTATGTACATTGTTTTTAGTACATGTTTTAAATTAATGGTTTAGGTTTTTAATGTGTTTGAATGAAATTGCTTGAAATATTATTCTAGATGATACATATCTAGTGAATTTATTATATAAGAGGTTTTTATGTACTTCCAGCTTATATGGCCCATGATGACTTGACAAATGCATTATACTATTCCATTCCAATTTTAACATTAATAATTTTTATATTCAGTCTAATCAAATGTACATTTTTCTACCTTTGATTTGATTCAAAGTTTTTACCCAAGTTGTATTTCCAAATCTTATATGAACAAAGATGATGTATTTTATTCAATTGATTTAATTCATTTGAAAGTCATGCTTTGTTTTACTATTATATATTGACACAGCTTTCATGTGCAAGAGTTCTTAGCATAAAATTTAAACTAGGCCTGCTTATATAATAAAATTTGAAAATAAGAAACAAACATTTGTATAAAAATGTAACCAATATTTATTATCTTACGATATTTCTAACTTATTCTAGTGTTTATCTTATAAAGCAAAAAATTCATTTTTTCAATTTGTTTTCTCTCAATTTCAATCACTATTATATGTATATCATGAAATATCTACGTTTTTATAAACAATAATACAACATATTTTGTATACTTAAATGTAGTAACGTAACTCCAAATCTTTATTTTCTGAGCATTAAATCAATGACAATAAATTTTAAATTATTTGTAGGCAAGTAGTGCTTTATTTAAATAACACTTTTACGAAGGCCAGTTGCTTGCATTTAATAACACACATTAATGCATCACGAGCTATACTTTTACATTTGACTTTTATGTATTTAGTGCACCCAAACTAATATTTGGAATTGATCCAAATATCAGTTTGAATCTTTAGAAATGATGCAAATGTGAGAAAAAGCAAATAAAAATATAATGTGTGACTGGTACAACCTGCTTTATTTAAATAATACATGTCAGCAGTTTTATTTGAGTTCTAAGATTTTTTTTAAGAAATGTTAAAATATTGATATTGAAATGTATGAAATGATCCAACTAGGGCTAATTTTTAATATTTTGGAGAATAATTATTGGACGTGTATACGATATTATATATTTCATAATTCTGCAAATATGAATTTAATGGCACATTAATCACATTCAGGCAGGGTAACTTTGATTTTTGAAACATTTTCATAGCATAATTTTTTAATTAGTAAATAAATTTCTATTCTGTTTTTTTTTTATAAAAATATTATGGAAATATTAAGCTATTAAAGAAGTATATAGCATTGCATTTAGTTTAAATATGTTATTCTTTTGAATAGAAAGAATTGTTTAATTAACAGCAGCTTACTGAATCATCAATTATTAGTGTACAAGAAATATGTAATAAACCAAAGATTTATACACTAATTATGAATTAAACATAAATGAGACATATAATGTATGATTTTTATTGAAATCGACATACATATAATATATAAGAAATTGTTTGAATAATTTTAAATACAACTTTAAGTTATTTTAATATGACTTAAATTATTAATGATCTGCAATATCATAATGATGTATCAATATTTAATTTATTGTATATTGGATAATTATATCATTATGTATAGTCTATTTACAGACAATTTTTATTAAATTATTGTAATATATAAATATTAGCAAAAAACAATAGAATGATCTTTGTCTTTAAGATCCTCATTTAAGTTTCCTTTCGTTTCCTCATTTAGCAGTTCAAAATAGAAAAAATTTCAAAGTGAAAATTAATTACAAAAAACAATATCAATGAATGATTTGATCATGGTTAAAATTTAATTAATCATAACAAAAGTAGTAATATTTTGAGAAAAAAAGCTGAATGGCGAATACTTGAATGATAATACATATTTTTAAAGTAGTATTATAATGAGAGAAAAATAATTAATATTCATTATATAGATAAGGTATGGATAAGGAGGATAAGGACTTCTACTAATTCTACCAATGCCGTTTATTTTCTTATTTTCTAAATATGTATTTAATCGTTTTGTGTGCCGAAACCCTAATATTTGTATTCGTTATTATCTTGGAAGCAAACCTTTATGTTTCTTTTATCTGTGAACTACACCAACTCGCCTCGCAGTGAGAAGTTGCCTACAGGTTGTGACACATTATTATATTTTCTAGGTTGTGACATATCATGACAAGATGACATGCTTTGATAGTTTATTTTTTTTACATTTGTATTTACCGAGAAAGAAATATAGAACGATAGAAATAATAATCTGATTTATTTTATGTATCTTTCTGTGGTGAATTAAACTCTTAAGATAAAATGAATATTGCGGATAGGAATAAAATTACCCAGCATTTAGTAGAACTAATAGAACTAACAAAATTAGACATACTGCTACCACGTTTACTGCAAAAAAGAATTTTTACTGAAAGCATGATTGACAGATTCAAGGTAATATAAATAATGAGTATTAAACAAATTATATATATGTACTGAATAAATTTTTAAACATTTTCCTCACTGATATTATGTGATTTCTTCTTTAAGATTTGTCATTTTTATGTTATTTAGTCTATTATTAATTTCAAATTATCTTTCAGAATAAGCTGGTCACAGAAAGAGATAGAAAAAGAGACTTATATTTAGCAGTTCAAAAACGTGGTCCTACTGCATTTTCCTCACTAATAGAGGCTCTTGAAGGAAACTGCTCATTTTAATTTAGCACGATTGTTGACTTCATCTGACCATGATAATAACCAAAACTCTTCGTACATTCTTAACAATCAACAAAACAATTATGAAAGAAGTTTATCTCAGACGTCTAATAGTCCAACTGAGGTTACACAACATATACATCCTTATGTTTTGCCACCAACGTCAAATAATGAGGCAATAAAAGCTAGCGCAATAGAAAATCAAGCTCAGGTTGATATGTCAGTTAATCCAATTTTAATTAAAGTAAAAAAGGCTACTCAGTTTTATGACATGATGGATACTGAAGAAACTAAATATCCAATGAGATCCAAAAAAAGAGGTGTCTACCTTATCATAAATAATATAGAGTTTGTCAATGATGTAAGATAATACAGTGAGAACATAATTGTCTTATGCTTGGCTTCTAATACTAGTTAATACTTGTCTTTTATAGTGCGAACAAAAACGACTGGGGGCTGAAATAGATCACAGAAACTTACTTGAATTATTTAAACAAATGGACTTTATTGGAGAGGATTATATGAATCTTAATATGCATGACATACAAACGGTTATAACAAAGTTTTCTTCAAATACAGAACTATTACATAAAACTGACTGTTGCATAGTTGTTGTAATGAGCCATGGAAATGATTTTAAAAGAGATGGATATATTTTCTCATATGATCATAATCCAGTATATTTATCATGGATTACTGACTGTTTTAATAACCGGCAATGCCCTTTATTACGTAATATACCTAAAATATTTATATTTCAATGTTGTAGGTATGTTGAAAAATATGCTTTATTTGAAATTATAGTGCAAAATTAACGCTTATTCTTTGGTTTATGAGTAAATGTTATAGTAATTCTTAATTTTAGGGGTGATATTTCAGATAATTCACTTAATGATGCACCTACTTCTAAATTAGCTAAATCTATGGTTGATGGAGGTTCAACTATGCGTGCTATGCCCACATGTAGTGATATGTTAATTTGTCATTCCACAATACCAGGTAATATTTTTTATTCTATATAATACAAATAAACAAATGGATATAACATTCATAGAGATATAAAAAAACAATTTAGGGTTTCAATCCTATCGGGAGGCAGAAACTGGTACTTGGTACATTAATACAATTTGTAATATATGGGCAGAGAATGCGTGTGATACAGATGTTGAAAGTATGATGAAGCAAGTTGCTGTAAAATTCAGAAACTTTTTAACATCTGATAATAAAATTCAGACACCATATTATGAAAATATCAGTTTTAATACTTGTTATTTTCATCCAGGGTTATATATTGATACGTAAATACCTAAACTTATTTTTAAAAGACATTTTATTAGTAGATATAACAATAATTTTATATATTTTATAATTAACTAAATGTGATTTTATACGCAGTTAATAAAAAATTGTAAATAGAAATATAATTTATATATTTTTGAACAGTTGCTACAATAAATATTTCTATGTTAATCTAAAATTTAAGTTTATGCAGGGCCTCCACGATTGATATAATCCACTTCATCTAGATCAATGTTTCGTCTTCTCCATTTTAGAGGTAGTTGCCAATCTTCAATAGCTTCTGTCGAATAAGCACTTGACATCTAAATAATAAGTGAGTAAAATTTTTTATATACAAGTATCTGTCATAGAAATTAATTTCTTTCAATGAACATTTAATCGATTTACATGTATAAAAAATATGGTTTCAAATATGCTATTATAAAGAACATACTAATTATACATTACTTACATTCATTGAATTGCCTTGACTTTGATTCTTTGAACCACTAGTATTATGATCAGCAGAAACTGCGGCCCCCTTTCTGAATTTTATCATAGGTATTCTAGCCTTCGCGCTTTGAAGCGCTAATGATCTTACAGATCCAAGAAGTACCATAATTGTTATTGTAACTGCAAAATAAAAAATCGAAATTAATGCTATGGTAATAAAAATACAGTAAAAATAGAAATGTTATCTTATCACTTTCATACCTCGATTTCGATTACAAATGACAGCTCGTTGACAGTGTTGAGCTGTCAAATGGTGTTATGTAAAGTAATTATAAAAATAGAATGTGATTGTAAATCGAGCCGATAAATAGTAATACAAATAGTATAATAATACTAATAATACAAAAACTTAGATGATATGGCTATAGTTATATTTTTAATTTTAGTTTCCTTTTTTTTTTTATTTAAAAAATCAGCAATGGCAACACTTCGCTAGAGATATTTTTCATTGAGGCGATTGAGACTGTTGTTTATCTAAGAATAATCATAAATGCAATTAACTTTTTATATGTCTTTTTAATTTTTTGTTATGTAACAAAATGTATTATAATTGTCTTTTTCATTTACATAGTTTATTTATATATTATTTAGGTTGTTGTTTTTCTATGGTGGCAGCGCCGGAAATGTACAAAATCGGTTACATCCGTTACCTGGCAACGAGAAGAGGTATTGAAAAAGTAAATAAACAAGGTATTTGAATACTTCACGTAATTCAAACCAATTGTTTATAATATAGATATATTATTTGAAAACATATGTATGCATAATAAATTATAAGGTGTAATTAATTATGTCTTGTCGAGTATCGTACACATGGCACCACGATTTTCCCAAGTTGGCGAAAGAAGCTGGCTTCTGTTTTAACGATCCTTCGCTACCGGGAAAATTTGATTGGGCATCTATAGGTTAGAATCTATAATTATTGTTAATATCACTTTTAAACCACTTTATTATATTTATCATGATTTATTCTTTAGGCAGTGTAGATGTGGATCGAATTTATAGAGAAAGAGATTTTGCAAGTCTTGAATATTCGCTTCAATATATTTTGGATGGCCCCATAGGAAGTCTCCTGGAATCTCGAGCATTAGACGCAGCAGTTAGTAAGCTCTTCCGAGTGTCTCAGTTAGCAATTCAGTATTTATTGTTTTGCAAACAATTTCTGGACAGAAGTGTTACTGTAATGAGGGCAACCATAAAAGAGCAACAGAAGGTATAAGTGAACAAAATTATAATAACTTTAAACAATTTATTGATATGATTCATTATCTAGATAATGAAAATATTATCAAAGCTTTGATAATGGAAATTTTAATCTAATTTCATGTGAAAGTAGCATTAGCATTCAATATACATTTAATTAATTAGATTCAGATCAGAATCCTACTAAAAACGCCATTAATTAAACATGATCATGATATGTTATATTGTATTTTATTTATATTTTGTATATGTTTTTCTAATTAATATCTTTAATAATAGCTGACTACATTAATATGTTTAGATGATAAAATATATTTTGTTCATATTACTTTTCAGGAAATTACTAATCTAAAGAAGAATATAAAATCCAAAGATGACCAAATACAAAAATTACGTCAAAAGAAAATAGAGAAAGATTTTGCTCTAGAATCTGGAAGAAGTTTACCTATAATTCACTCCCATGGTTTGGATCCATCTTGCCATGTTTGTGGAAAAACATTTCTAAACATTGTCTACCTCCAGGCTCATTTGCAGAGACGTCATAAAGATGAGCAACCAGAACGAGATAGTGGTCCAGTTGTGCATCAAAATCAGGTATGTTACACATCTGATCTATTATTTTTTATTTAATACCTCATATTTCATTTTCTAGTTAGATAGCAAATTGATGCAAAACATTGCAAATGCTCAAACAAATGTTGTATCAGGTGAAATGCAACCATTAGCCTCTTCTTCTGCAGTGGTTATTCCTGATTCTCAACTTATAGATATTGTAAAATTGCAACTCGAAATTAAACAACTAAAGGAACGACTGGCTAATGCAGAGAAAACTCTGGTAATTCATTTGTAATTCTATTATTTTTTAGTTTTAATTTTCGGATTACGTATATACGTATATAAATATTTATTAACATTTAGATTGCGAGTGAAGAAATAGATTTATGTAAAAGAACGAGCGATAGGAAATTTCAAGCAATAAATAAACAAGACGCGAGTGTAAACACTGATCAGCCAGTTGTAGACAATAATGTATTAGGCGAAGATAAATACGAACTAGAAATAAAAGATCTTAAGGAGCAATTTCTAAGAAGTATAGAAAGTCTAAAAGACAGGACATCGTGGATGGAAATTAATAGAAAAATAGAAGATCAAGAAAACCTTTGGAAAAATCGATGTGATGCTTTAGAAAATAAATTTGATCAAGATACCAAACATCTTATGCAAATCTTGAGTGACATAAAGCAAGCTAATTTACAATCCGCATCAAGTATGAAAAAGGCTCACAAGAAAAAATCCAAAACTGCATCAAAATCTTTACGCTCTAGGACTACAGAGGATTTCAGTATCGATAAGGAAAATAAATCACAAGTCAACCCACTGCAGCCTTCTATTAAATTACTTGGTTCTGATAATAACGAGCAGAAATCTTCTAAAAGAAAATTACAGTCAAAAATTCCAGAAAGGTTTACATTAGCATCATTGAATGAGATGGGCTTTAAGAAAAACTACGAAAAGCCTGATAAAATATCTCAAATCTCTCCAAAAAAAGATATCAAACAAACGCGTACTCCTAATATTAAAGAAAAAGAAAATAATAATTTAAATAAAATCGTAGTAGAAGCTGATATTCATGACAGAGATGAAAATAAGGGATTAGTAGAAGAAATAACCGACAACCAAGAACAATCCTTGCATGATGAATTTCTGAAAACTAAGCCTTCTACTTCAAATATACAATATAGATCACTTTCAAGGTAGGTTATTCAATATATCTAGCTAATTATAATAGTTTACATGTTGAATACAAGGAAAGGTAATATTTATTTTTATTTGAAAATTCATAGTTAATTATGATCAAATAATTTTAATTTTTTTAAGTTTGCGGGAAGCTCTGTTTGAAAATCCAGAAGAGTTAAAAATGTACAGAGATTCTTTGATTGGAGATTTGGAACAAAGACTATGGAAATTAAATGTTGATCCATCTTCTAATGAAATGTTAGATGGGGACTATCAGAAATGTATGAATATTATCGTTCATGAAAGAAAGTTGAAGAGTAAAGTAAGTGAAATCATTTATTTTCGAGACTTTTATCGTGCATTAACATTAATTATTTTTTATACACTAGTATCATATGTAACTATAGTGTTAAATCATTTTAATGATAATATATGACATAATTATAATTATATTTATATTTTGACGATCAAGGATTTAAATTTGAAGCCCTATATTTTAAAATTACTTAAATGTTTTCTTATCAGCAATTTACGAAACGTGGCGTAAACTTGGAAGAAGTTTACCAACAGTTAGAAGAAAGAATTGATGATGAAGTAGAAAAACGCGGCTTCCCAAAAGAGATGTTAGAACTAACGTTCAGAAAAGTTGGATCACAGAATATTCCTGGTTCACGTGATGAAAATCGTCGGTCTTCCATTTCTCCGAAAACGGGCAGAGTCAGGTCGGCCCTGAGTGCATTCAAAACGAAATCCATGGAAATTCTTCCTAACTTATTGAGAAAACATGATGTTAAAAAATCTCCCACAAAATTAAAAAGAGAATTGGATTCACAATTTAACCTATCATATGGTAACGACATATCATATTTTTCATTATTACTATAAAAAGAATCATATTCATTTTTCTATTGTAGAAGATCAGGGAATTTACTTCGACGAGCGCGAAATTAATCAAACATCATCTCCAAACACGGGCAAAACAAAAAATGTTTTAAAAAAGGATGTATTGCATCACAGTGATAGTAATATCCCTTCAGATGATGAATCACTTAAAGAACTTGGTAATGACCTGAAAAAAATTATTTTTAATAAATAATATTTATAATATAAGGCAATATTTTTTTATGAAACAGAAATGCGAGTCAAAAAGCCAATAACGTCGGTTTCGTTGGAAAAACTACTTGCTTATCCTATACTGAGACCAACACCGTTTGATTTCAATAAAAAACCTCTGCAGAATACTACCACAAATCAATTGAAAAATGAAGAATCCGCCTTCTCACCGGGTAATTCTCACTTAATATATTATCAATTTGGGTTATGCACAACTCAAATGTTGGAGAAAATTTGTGCAATATATATTATTTATATAAATTTACAGGTAAAGAGGATTCTTCCTCCATCGATACCGTGAAAAATCTAACAGAAGAACAAGATGGAACCATAAGGAATATTCACCAGCCCCTATCTGTGACCAGCACCAGTCGACCGCAAATGAGTAACACTTCTTTAAAAACTGACATGGATTCCCAAAGCAATTATAAAACTAACATTGATAGTCCTGAAAATAAAAAACATTCAACGATATATGTTGAATCAATGACCGATGATGAAAGTGAAGACAAATTACATCAAAATCATTCTAAAGATGTTGAAAATTCACCATTGAAAAATATGTTTGAAGTTGGATCTGGCGATCAAAAGAGCAATAAAAAACACGTTGTTTTTGATTTGGATGCAAATACTCATAAAACACTAAGCAGTGATGGTAAAAGTCAGGACGATTCAGATTTTGATTTATCTAGGTAATATTAATGTAATTCAGTTCAAAATAACTATAAAGAGCAGCAAGTATAAATAATATAATATTTTTATTACAGCATTCAAAGTCTAGGAATAATTGAACACCAAGATGATCAGTTACAAAGTGATTCTTTCTATTCGAACAACATAAAACATTCTAATAAAAGTTCAAATGATTTGAAATTAAATTCAGAAATAACTATAAAAGAGATTAAAGACATAGAATGTGCGCCAAGCACATCTAAAACCATACCATTTGCAACACCAAGAACGAAAATGAATGTAAATGTTCAAGATGAAGTATCTTTGAGTGATTTTAGCTTTTGAATACAACGGATAGAGACAGATTCTCTATCCTGATGAATTATATGCCAAATCTGATATTATAAAACATGATAATAAATTTGATATTTTGAAATATACTCTGTAATTTTAGTACCTTCTTTGATATATAATATATTAAATATTACCAAAAACGTATCAATTCATTAATGCTGATAGTTTTGAAATTTGAAAAAGGCGCGCCATTTATTTTTTGCTGTTTTTTACCATGGTAACCAGATAAAAGAGATAGCACTAGTAACCATGATCAAATTTAAATACGTTAACAAAATGTCAACAAAGCAAATTGCCAAACATTTTAAATGTCGTGGAGGTATTTATCCTCATTCTAATATTAAAAGATTGACTGTACCAGATGATTTGGTAGACTGGTGCACATCGTGGCCGGAATACAGTCCTCCAGTCTATAATTCGAACATTCTGACAGGAAAACCTTGGGCAGATCCAGATATAGGTTAGTTGCTAATAAAAAATTAGCAACATAATATTATCAATACATGAATTGCTATTATTTAATCTATACTAGAATTCTTATTTCTTATGAAGGTGATTCTTCATTCAATCCCAAATGGAATGAGGAGGATGTTCATATAAATAGGAAAAGCTATCATGGAAAATATAAAGTAGTTGATGGCTATCCAATAAATCCATGTGGAAGAACTGGTTTAAAAGGTCGTGGAATTTTAGGAAAATGGGGTCCAAATCATGCAGCAGACCCTATAGTTACCAGATGGAAAAGAAATATGAATGGAGATGTAATAAAACAAGATAGCAAGTAATATATATATTTTTTTTAAGTTATTGAATAAAGAAAACATAAATCTTTTTATACTGATAGGCCTGTACTACAGTTATGTGTGATTGAGCGATTTGATTGTGGAGAACAAGCTTTACCTGGTGGCATGGTTGATCCGGGTGAAAAGATTTCTGCAGCAATAAAAAGAGAATTTATGGAAGAAGCAATGGCATCTTTAACTCATTCGAAGGGTAATTAATTTTGTTCATTTTGGATAAGCAAACAATAAGTGTTTTTCACATTAAAAGCCTTCTTTTATTTGTATGTTATTATTATTCCAAATTAATATAATTATTATTAAATTGTTTGAATATATAAACATATATTAACTTTTGTTTCTAATCTAATCATATATAAATAAATCTCTGATTGTGTTTTCACATAAACAAAGATATCCACCCTTATCTATGATATCCACACTATTTTTAACTAAGTTTTGGCCGTTTTATATTATTCAAATTTTCAAAGATATATCTATCCATAGAGTTTTTAACAAATTTTTTGTCGTTTTATTTAGATGAAAATGAAGAAGTGTCTAAAAAACTTGATAAATTTTTCTCTAATGGTGTTATAATATATAATGGTTACGTAGATGACATTAGAAATACAGATAATGCATGGATAGAAACATCTGCTATAAATTATCATGATGATGAAGGTATTTATTTTGAATTTATAATTTCTATAAATGCAAATTATATAATATATGTTTATTATCAGGAACTGGACTAGGGTCTCTTAATCTGACTGCTGGTGATGATGCAAAAAATATTGGTTGGGTGGATGTCAATAGGAATTTAAAACTATATGCGAGTCATAGTGAAATGGTTAAATTGGTTTCTGAAAATCTTCATAGCTTTTGGTAATTTTATAAACTTAGTAAATAATGATCTAGCAATACAAAATATATGTTATATTATTTTAATGAAGTTTATAAAAGGAATAGGAATATATGATTTTATATAAAGTTTTTATATTGATTAAAGTTTATTAATTAAATCACACTTTTGAAAGTTTAATAGTTGAATATCATGATAATCAGGATTATGCTCATTTAAGGTAATAATTTTGATTTGCAGCAAATATCAAAGGCAATGAGTCAGTTTATGGTAGAAGTTTGATATGCATATGATTGTTTGATGATGAGAACAATTGTTTAAAATATACGATTTTACTGGTTTCTGTAATCAATGCAACAATGACTAAACAAACTTAAAATATTGAAGGTTATGTTAGATCATTCAAATTTGGGTAAAATATATACATGATGGTGTGTCATGTAATCGTTTAAGATAATTTAAAAATAATTACACACTATTTATTACAAGTTGTCATTAAGAGCGTTTATATTTTCTGAGATATTAAGAGGTTATGAAGTGGTACTTGAATTGCATGTAATCAAGAAAATAGCTAAAACTAGGATTCATTAGAGCATGTACAAGATATAAGAAGGATTACAGGTAACTTATCAATTAAATTAATATAAATTGGTTTCTCGGAAACCAATAACGATTATTTGGATAGGTTTGACGTTTCGGCATAACTTTATATCGCAATGAGGAGTTATGTTTATAATGTAGTAAAATAATTTTACGTTATTCAAGTGATTTTTTTTATCATATTGCAACGTGAAGGATATTTTAAGTTGTTCATATATACGGTATTTGCATATAGTGGTTATCTTCAATAAGGATAAACCTTACCCAGTCCAGATAAGTTTTAAGAAATACAAGGCTTATATTAAATTCGATTCCAAGATGCCTACAGTATTAATGTTAGATGCTTCATATTCTATGTCAAGATGCAATGGATCTGACAAAAATACTATTTTGCAATTAGCAATTCAGGCAGTTCATAGTTTTCTTGACTATTTAGCAATCCATTGCAAATTGGAATTTGTAGCTCTGACAGTTTTCTCATCAACCTTCAAATGTATTTGTAATTTTACACGGGATTATGCTTCCATCAAAGAAAAGTTAAATGCTGTTGAAGAGCTAGATAAAACGAACATAGAAACAGCATTTAAAGAAGTCAACAACCTTGTCATAAATGAATGGGGAATTAATACACCATGTCATGTGGTACTAATAACAGATGGATGTGCTCCACTGTATCGAGTTGGAATAACACAATTCTCATTTCCTGCAAAGTTGCATATTATTTGTATGTGTCGAAGCGATGATAAAACTTTTATGCACTCTAAAAGCATTTATGAAGAATTGTTAACACGATTTGGTTCATCTCCTACTAATGATTTACATACAATGCAGCCTGACACAAATGCTAGTAAAGTTAATGCAGCTTTTGCTCCCATTGATGCACATACTATATCTGAAGCAATATTGCACTTTTCTGAACAGAACTATCATGAACACAGAGCATCATTGAAATGTGGTGGGCTCTCTTGTGATGTATTTTTATTTCCCCCACCTGAACCATATTTAGAAGTAACAGAGTATAGTGTAAAGAAGCACTATGTCTCAAGACACTTAGAAGTATGTGGGTTTCTTTCAATTGCGGATGTAGGGTCTCCAATGGCGATTTCTCGTCATCTTTTGCTTCCAGCACCTGTTTTGAATATGAATGGCAATGAGGATGGAGTTACAGAAAGGAAAAATGATTCCAGCAATGCAATAGAAATGATGCAAACTGATGACGATTCTAGTGATGAAGGTAGACAACCATCATTTTGTGTTTTGTTACATGGAGCTCTAAGGAAGGAGAGCATGGTAGCTCTTATTTCTATTGCAGATGAATGGTTTGCACTTGCATACTCACGTGCTGATGGGAGAAAGAAAAGTGGTCTTATGCTAGCTACTTTAAAACCAGGGACAAAACCTTTACCAGGTCTGGGAGACCTAAGATTACTTGGATTAGAAGAACAAGCACCAGGAATGGCAATACGACCCATGGAAAAGCGTAGCTATTCTCAAAGTACAGTAACCTGGATAAAGCATTCAGGATTGCAATCAGACATACAAAAGTTGCTTAGACATGCTAGAAAATTACCAGAGAAAACTTCACATTTTTATAAAGAATTAAATAGGGTAAGAAGAGCAGCTACATCATTAGGATTTATTGAATTATTAGAAGCAATGGCATTGATATTTGAGCGTGAATGTGCTTCTTTACCAGATAATGCTAGTCCTGATTGTGCACTACAATTAACTCATGCAGCTCAACAATTACGAGACCCACGCTCTCGTGATCCCAGTACTAGCATAATGCCCGTTAGCACAAAATATAATTTAAATGCTAAAGTTTCATGTTAGCTACAATCAACACAAGTCATTCTTTTTACTTTTTTTTCTATGAAAATTGTAGATCTATTTTTATATATGTTATATATGTCTAGTAGTTTTATAGTATATGGAACATACTAGAAAAGTAAGAATAATAAATATTTTAATGAGATCTAAAGATGTCTTACATTTTATTATTCATAATCTGTTTATTATTGGGACAATAACAAAGTCGATTTTTTTTTAAATTGGTTTATTAAAATTATTTTTATGTTAATATGATAGGTTTTATTTTTCTTTTTCAAGTACTATGGAATAATTGTGAATGTTTATTGAAATTTTAATTTGAATCATGAATGTATGTATGTGTATGATAAGAAAACTTCTTTATTTGAAAAAAAAAATGTATTGATTTTAAAATATGCTTTTTCAGTCTTGCTATTTAGTTTTTTTTTTAATTTCAAGGCTTTTACAAATAACTTTACAAATGAAATAATCCCTGAAATATTTATACATAAATATACAAAAGTTCAATATAAAAATATATTAAGATTTTCTTGGCATTTAATTGCTTTGTATTATACAAATAATTCTGTTAAAATACAATTTGATGAATTTTATTCAATAATGCAGCATGTAACTTTTAACTGAATGAATTTTTGTCATTCGAGTCAATGAATAAAACAAATGTAATCAAAATGTGTAATAAGTTCACATACGATCATAGTTTCCTTGTATATTAAAAACAAATAAAAAGAAAAGTGTGTGGACTTTGCTCATAAAAAGGAGCGGGTTCTTAAGCTACATAATTCTAATCATTAATTTATTGCATTCCTGGACCACCACGACCTCTTCCTCCACCAGGACCTCCCTGCCAAGGACCAGCGCCTCTGCCAGCTCCTCCTCGAACAGGCATACCCCGACCCCTTCCTCGTGCAGCTTTAATAAATGTATACAAAAAGTACATTGCAATATCTTATATAATATTTTGATAATAAATACTAGAATGTTTAATTTGAACATTCTAAATAAATTGTCAAAGGTTGTTGTTCCTTTTTATAATATTTTCTTACTGAAGTGTTCTTTTATCTTTGCAAATATTTCAATCTTTTACATAGAAGACTTTGAATTTAAAGAAATTGTCAATAGGTACCTTGTGCTCTGAGAATTGCAGACTTCCCTCTTCCAGCACCACCTGCTTTGGACCCCTGTTTTTTGAACATAGGCGCATTTTTCAACATGTCAGGAAGTATTAGAAATCTTATTTTGGATCCTCGAATATAAACGTTTTCTAACTGAGCTACACGGCCATCCCTATAAGTCACAGTAATTTGAGTCATTTGACAGTTCATATTATCCTCAGCTTCGATCAGCTTGCCTCGATAAACTTCTCCAGTAATTGTTTCACATGTTACAATGTGCCCTTCGGCTTCATGAAGTACTTTAATTGGTACACCGATAGACATATTAGCGATAATGAAATGCTTGAAAGTCAATTATATATTTGATAAACTAAAATTTAGGAAATCTTAAAGATTTTGTTTGTTAATATAACCAAAAAACAATGCCGGCGGTAAGCAATCTACTTTATATTGTATGAAATGAAGTCAGAAATGAAACGCCAACACGAATTGTTGGTTGAGCACCAACACAAAAAAGGTCAAAAAAAAAAGCTTTTCATGTTGGCTGCCCTTTGCCTTCAACTTTCCGAATCTTTCAAGTTATGTAATTTGACGTTCGGAAATCTAAATAATTTTGATTATTTTGACCTATGAAATAATATGAATTATGTGTAATTACACAAATAATGTACAATGGTGTAAAAACTGTAAATATCCCATTTGTTGTCACCAGCCATTATTGATGATTTAATTACAGTTATGAAACTGCTGATGCTATGAGAATTAAAATTGACCAAATTATTGTTTTATTTTATTTAAAGATAAATACATATATTTAAATGGAAATTCGTGGCTCTATGTCCCTAATGGGACTTCTATTATCCATAGGAACTGCTACAGGTACAACGTGAAATTCATTAATTTGATGATTATTAATTTATAATAAAGACTATAATAGTGACATGAAAAATATTTCAGGAGTGATATTCACGTTAGAACCGGAGGATAGGATTTCATTAAAAATGGGCGTACTATTTACAACTCTTGGTTTTATATTTTTTATTTCATTATCAGAATTTTTAGTACAAATAATGCTGACAACAGCCCTGGGAAAATATTTTCGTGCAAAATATGGCTTAAGTTTATCTGATGCATTAGATATCATAAATAAGTGAGTTATTGATATTATTCATTATTATTAAACATTATTTCTAAATTTATAGTTACATTTTATTGTATTATATTTAAAGTTCTTCAAATATTAAGAATTCTTTAATATACTTTAAAGAAACATATACATAATAAAATAGTTATGTTTTGTTATGCTTTGAAAATATTTAGAGAAAATTCAATTTACCTATCTTCAAAAATATGTTGATGTTATAATCGATGAACTCATTCTTATATAATTTTATATTAAAATTTTAATTAGCTTCTATAATAGGGGATTGATAAAGTTATGATTAGCAATTGTTTGAGTTTGAGTATATATTTAATACAGTACTAAATGTCATTAAAATTTGATATTAAATTACAGATTAGTGTCAGCTGTTCAAGCAGGATTATCTTGCCTAACTGGAGTTATCGTTTGTCTTTGGTCTTGTACTAGGTCTCTTCTTCATGCATCACATTTTATGTCAGAAGCCTATGCTTGGTTTGGAGCTGCTTATTTCTTCTACGATATATGGTAATATGATAACATACTAAATCATGAAACTATCAGTAATTAATGTCAAATAAGCTTACCATAAATTGCTTAATTGTTTAATTGATTATAGGTCTATGTTTGAGGTACATGCTTGTGAAACCATAGAAAAACGATCTAACAAAAAAATCAAACACAATAACAACAGTAAAATACCAGTATTAGAAAAGTATAATGATAGATTGAAAGATACTAAAGAACATTACTCTCCAATCAATTATGGAGGTGGTGACAATCAGATTGATAAGTACGGAAGAAATCAATTGTCTATGAAGGTAGACTGTATGATAAATGAAGATTTAAATAGAGCAGCAGCTGTCAATAATGCGAGCCTGAAAAGCTACATATTAGATTCGCCTATAATTATTATGCATCACTTGTTCATAGGAAGCTTTGGATTTCTAGTTATTGTGGTAAGAATCGTAGTTAGCTATCATAGTTATTTAATTTATGGCTATATATAATACACCCACACTGTGGATATATGATACTTATAAATTTCTGTAAAGCTAATATTTTATCGATTGTTTTTAAAGCAAAAAGTTTATTTTTTAGGAAATATGTTTACTAACATTCTTGATGAATTGTGAGAATTCTTAATTTCCATTAAGTTTTATTGCAATAAATATAATTATTAATGCATAGATAAGTGATACTAAATTATAAATAACAATGATATATGCAATTGTGAAGTGAATGTTTTCAATCATATTCACTTCACAGTTAGCTTATATCATTAATTAAAATTTTCTACATTAATATATTTATATTAAACTGAAATATTAAATATTTATGCCACAGACTGGATTATGATTTCATAATGTGTAAGTCTCTAAAAGATATCTATTTTTTATTAATTATTTATTTCATATTTCTAGTTAAATCTTATTTAGATAAACAAATAGTTTGGACATTCTTGTGAGTTTATTTGAAATAGTAGTGATTTTTTTAAAATAATATTCAGTTTCAGCTATTAAGTACTTTTGGTTACCTTAATAGCAAATGAACTCATGTAATGTCTGTTTTTACAATTTACATTTAGTTTGAGTACTGGAGTGCATGAATTTATATCGATTGTGTATTATGAGTATGTAAATGAACAAAGTATTGAGATTTTATTCGATATTAGGCATGTTAGCTAAACTTCAGACAGCCAAAAATGAGCATGTGTAGCTAAACAGTACTTATCAGCACAACAATAATTTAACTAATTTGCAACTGCTGGGCAATTTTTTTGTATGAGTAAAATTTTTGTCTGATAATTATATTCTATAAAGAGTCATCAGGTAGAAATGGTTCAAAATATCTTATATAAACTAATCGATATTCATAGATGCAACTTATAAATATTTTGTTAATATATTTTCTACATGTATGAAAATTTATTTATGAAAAGAATTTTTCTATATTATATATCTATAAGATATTTTATCCAGGTTGATCATCAGCTATCACTAGTTAATTTAGATTATCTTATTAAAGTTTTAGTTTCATATGGAGTTCCTTTGTAGCTAATTAGGTTTCTGATGGATATCAATAATAATTGTTTTTATGATGTTTATTTATAGTATTTAAGAGGAGGCCTTGGAGATTGTGTCTTTGGATTTGTATATCTCATGGAGCTGTCAACACCATTTGTGTCTCTCAGAGGAATTCTTAGTAAAATGGGATTAAAAACATCAAAGTTATATGTTATTAATGGCTTAATAATGCTGGGCTCATTCTTCTTCTGCAGAGTTGCCATGTTTCCATATGTGTGCTATATGTATAGTCAAGTAGTGGGTCTACCATATTGGCAGGTATATTTCAAGAACTGTAATGCAGCAAATAAACTTATATTTTTATAAACATTTGTATTTCTCTTTTAGGCAATATGGTCTCTACCTACAGGCTGTAAGACTAGTATAATAATTCTAATGTTACCTCAAATTTATTGGTTCTACTTGATGTTAAGAGGAGCATTTAAAGTTTTTTTTATTGCTGGGAAAACAAATGCCCTAAAGGGCATTCAGGAGCAGCATGAATCACCTAATAAAATTAAGAAGTAAAATCTAAGACGCTTGTTGAAAATGTTTCAAGTTGTAATATATAAAAGATGTGAATACTATAAATGTCTTAATTTAACTTAATTGTAATGACTTAAGTTGCCAATCCCGTCTAGTATTATTATTTAAGTTTTATTAAGTATTCATAGCCAAATATAGTCCTAATATTTTTGCTACATGGTATAAATATATGCTTTCTACCATTTGCATAAGACTATTTAATTATAAAGGAGTTTATACTAAGTCAATGGAATTAACATTCCACCTTTGTAAGTAACTTGTTATCCGGTTGTTATCATTACATGTAGTGATGTTGTTTAAGATAAGATTAAGATCATTATTGATTTATTTAAATTTGTTTTTTGGAATGATTTGCAATTTTAACTTTTTGCCTTACTAAAGCTTTGCTTATTCTAAAAATGGTGGAAGAATAGTTATACTGATGATTTCATCTGTTAACATGTCAAACTAAATGTGTTCATTAAAGCACCAAATATATATATATATATATTTGTCTAATTATTTTTAGCACTTAAGACATTTTAATTGTACAACTATGATAATACTACAACTTACTAAAATGCATTATTGAAAGTACTGTGATATTACACATACTGTGATGTATTGCGATAGTGTACTATGAATTAATTTTCTACTTGGCTCATTAGGAGAGAAAAAGAATTGGAGTGATTTTGAAATATATATATATATATATATATATATATATAGAATGACTAAAATTATACTTACTATTAGATAAAAATCATTCCAAACTCTCAAACTTCAACTTACAATCTCATGGGTAAGTTTTAAATATCTATTTTAAATTTTGAATTAATAGTTATCAACATCATGAACTTTGTGTATTTTTCATCTAACAATATGGTTAAATATCTAATTAATTTCTCTATTTGTTTTCATTATAGGAGACTCAGAATCTAAGGCTACATATCCAGAGCTTATCCAGGTTTCCTGCCTGCAATAGACAATCCCGACTATTTTCTGGAATTAGTATATATGATAATTAAAAAAACAAATGTTCATATATATTTTAGTTATAAGTTTTATATTTATTCTTGTTGTACTGTTAAAAGTTTATATTTTTTACTTAACTTAAGTTATTAATAATCCATATTTATTGTACACATTCAATATATCAAAATTTGTCTCAAGTAATTAAGAATATTTTTCACCAAAGCAATAAAAAATATATTCAACTTGGTAATTCACTCGTTGTGCTTATATACTGTTAGTTATATTTGTAATATTTTGTAATGATATAAATATATAATAAAGTATGAATTTATTATTCAATTTAAATCTTTTATTATAAAATCTATGTGCATTTTATTGAATATTTCAGGTTGCTTTTGGCAAACAATTAAAAGCTAAATACAAATATTAACTTAATTCAATTTCGAACATTTAATTACAATCATGCATAGAGGCATCTATTTTATTGATTAAACACACTATTTATTTTGGATATTTGCTATAATTTTTAATGTTCAAAAACTAAATATTCAAAATAATTACTCCTTACATTTAAGCAGGCGGCCCTGCGCAATACTAAAGCTATTTCATTTACGGATTTGTGACTGCTACCCTGGTAGTATGGATTGATTTCAGTACGAAAAATGTTCGACAAAATTCATTTTCATACAAAATCGATTCATTCTGCCAGGGAAACAGTCACAATTTTTGAAATTGACAGCGCGCTACTATAGCACAGGGCCGTCTGCCAAATTGTTAGAGGTAAATATTTTGAATATTTATTTTAATTAAAAATGGAATTCATTATTTTGGTATATTTTAATAAGTTTTGGTGTTTGGAATATTATTTTAGCATTAATATTATTGTGTAAACATTGCAAATAATAAAAATATACAATATTGCAAAGTTTGTGAGCTGTGACTGAACTTATTGTCGACGTTTACTTAGAAACTGCTGTACTGATTATAATGTTTTTTTATAATTAGCAGAAGAGTACTACATTTTTTGTCCGCGTTTTCGCCAGAAACTTTGAACCGATTTTAAAATTTCAGAAACGGTTCAAAGATTTGCCGGGCAATTTTGTTGTAATACAATTTTTTTTTGTTAATATTTGTTAATTAATACAAAACAAAATTTATCTTGCTATTAGTTAGTCATAATCTTTAAAAAAAAAAACATATATCGGTAGTAATATAATAAGTGCAATTATCACAATAATTTTGACTTTTTAAAATAATTTACATATTTGTTTAAAATATTTAAAGTTGTTTAAAATGCGGTCCTGATTTCTTGGTAAATTCGTTCTGCTTTTTGATTGGTTGGCTCCGTTTTGAATAGTATGTATACACTAAATTCTATACTGTATAGGAATATGACAGTTCTGGGCTCCTAATACAATTTGACAGCTGTTAAAACATGTCGGACATTTACTGTGTGACCGTCGATGCGAATGCGTCGCTAGATTAAATTATTAAAGATCTTGTTGCGGTTGTGTGTGTGTTTTAATTATTTCTAAACACACATTATTTATAGTGCCAGTTTACAAAAAAAGTGGAGTAACATATGAAATACAAAACAAAATAGAACCCACTGAAGCGGTTGAATATTTTATATTAATAGTTAATTCTTTAGAAAAATGCTCTGTGATCAAGTTGCAATAATGCAGTACAGGTTTCTAATTGTTAAAGAAGAAATAAGATATCCATTGAGCACAGTATTGATGTGTTCACCTGAAGCAGAAATCTCAAATCAGTATCATTCTCTGAAATTTCAAAATGATTTGAACATGAAGTGCTTAAATAAGAATTATTAATTTATTTCGTTTGCATGCTGCTGGAAAAGTGCTTGTTACTTACAAAATATTTTAAGAAAATGACAGTTATGATAAGTAAAGCTGTAAAAACTCATTACTGAGTTTTAATTAATTGTCAATACATAATATATTTATGATAATGCAAAAACATTTTAGTAGTATTTTAGTAGGGGAGTTTTTTTTTAAATTAATGAACTGATTAATTGGCAAATGTGTTCATTTATTTCAATTAAATTAAATAATTATATAAAAAAATAAAGTTATAATACAAATATGATAACAAATTGTATATCCATGTCTATAATTTATTGATTTGCACGATAGTAAAGTGCCTTTTGTTAGACAAACAATGATATTTGAGATTTATATATGAGTTGAACGAATATTAAATGTTAAATATGAACAGATTTTTAACACAACTTTATTTGGTAATTACAGACGTTTCGAGACCATGGTATGCCTCATCTTCAGTGTTATTTCAAAAACAGTTACTTATATACTACACATTCTTTAATATTTTATTTAAATTACATTTAATTTTTGAAAATACAAAACACACCAACTATCACTTGCAAAGCTTGACTCAGTACTAAAAAATGTGAAATTTACAGATATTATTCTAAAAAATCTTAAGTATCGAGATAAAGAACATTCAACATCAAAGCTATTATTATAATGTAAACAAAAGGAGTGTGGGATTGCATAAATAAAATCAACAAATGTGAAAACAGATAAATTTCTTGAAGATAATAAGATAAATGAAAAATGTTATAAATTATTAATGATGTTAAGAGTCATGTAAATATTTGTGTCGGTTCTCAGATTTACGCTATTGTTAGTCCAAACTATTAACATTGATTCTGCCATGCTCCATTTAAATAAGTCTTTTTCAAGGAAAAATTAAATTTTAAGATTTGGGGATTATCAAAATCAAACTTGGTTGTTCCACTTATGATCCACAAGCGTACTTTTAAATTTTTTGTTATCTATTTTTTCGAACTGAAATTACACTGAAGATGAGGCATACCATGATCTCGAAACGTCTGTAATTACCAAATAAAGTTGTGTTAAAGATCTCAGTGTTGTTTTGTTCATATTTAATATTTAATATATATATATATATATATATATATATATATATATAAACACTATTTTTTTATCTATAGATTTACTGTCATAATACAATTAGTGAGGTTCAGAGTCACTTGAGCAGATCGAGAAACTGTTGTCGTTTCTTTTAACTTTCTTTTTATGACCTTGCTATCAAATTAGCAGATATTATTGTCTCCATGTAATTTGCATTATACTTATGTAATGGTATTCATATTGAAATCAAGCATGGAATATTTCTATCAAAATGATTTGTCATCCATATGGTCGCAGCAAGAGGGGAGCTATAATATTGAGCTTCTACAATGATAACTTCATTATTATATTGTATAGGGATAATTCTGTGTATTATTATATTTTTAAAGGTCTAACTATGTTTTATTATAATTGAAACTTGTTGGCATATTAGAAGAGTTTTATTTGGAGTGTCCCTTCTCGCTGGAGCCCCCCACCTTCATTCAGTCTAAATTCTGGTTGCGCCCCTCTCTCACTTGTCCCCCTCTCAAACTTTTTAACGAGACAATGAATGAGAATTTATAGTAGTTTCCGCATGATCTTGAAGCGGAATTCGCATGATTTACTTGCTGGTAATAATTTAAATGATAATTTAAAGAAAATTGTTTGTTTACAAATTTAACAGATTGTAGAATAAAATTAAAAGAATTAAAGTGTCTTCAGGAAGCTGGTGAGTTCTATTACTATTATGAAATTGTTATGTTACGATGTACTTGTTAAAATTTGTTATAAGTATAAATTAATTTCAGTTATACCTTTTATGTGTATAAATAAATAATTACAAACCTAACTTAATAAATAATTATAAATAAACAAAAATAATTATATTAATATAAATAAAAAAAAATCAATACTAAATATATTGCGAAAATATTGTACATCCAAAGGCCTTAAAATAAATTAATAGCTTTTATAAATAAATTGATTTATCCTAAAATATTAACACCTCTGCTTATAACAATTTGACTGCTTATATATCTTTTGCACGAGAGTTGTATTATTCAATCATTGACTTGAATTATTTTATTCAGAGCACTTTTTTAAATTATTATGTTTCAAGTTCAGTTGTTGTAAAATATTAAAAAAAAAGTATAAAATATCAAATACAATTCTTAGGAACGTTTTTTTTTTAATTTTTACTACTAAAAGTATTTTAAAATTGCTGATAAAATACAAATTTGTGAATTTGAATTAATCAGGCCTGATTATTGACTTAATCAATATGAATTCATATTTAGTGTCTTCTAAAATTGTGACGATACGAATTCAACGATTTTTATAACTAAACCACTTTTCGTATGCTTATAATAATTAAGGATATTCGTTAAGACCGTGACCTTTATATTCATATAAAGTTTCATCAAAATAGTACAGGAGTAGAACTATTGTAGAGTATGTATTACAAATTAATTACGAAGAAACGACCCGGCTTATCTATACCAATAACGTAGCACTACCCTAACTGAAATCTTTCCAACGGATACTAAATTTTCAAAATCGGTCCAGAATTTTTTGCAAAAACCTGGACAAGAATCAGTATTTTTCTGCTAATTATAAAGAAACTGCTTGAAACATCTCGAAAAACTAATCGACTTGACTCCTTATCGAATGGATTTAATTTTGTTGAAGTCAGTTCAGCGGTTTTTAAGTAATGGTCGACGAAAGCTCAAACTTCGGCTTACATCCTTTTTTTAAATTTGATCTTAAACGAATATGATAACAGAACTTTTTATAATCTTACAAAGCTTAGAAAACGGTTATATTTTTATTATCAATTAGGCTATAGTAAGCATTGAAAAAATTATCCCTGCCGAATGATTTTCAAAAAATATAAATTATATATATATATATATATATATATATAAAAATAATTAAATTAAGAAATTAAATTAGAAAAACATTGTATATATACCATTTATTCTATTTTAATTTCTTCTAGTTCTTTCAAATTTCGATACATGTAATCAACAAAAATCAAGGCCTCTGAATTAAATATATATATTCAGTATTTTTTGTTTGTCATTGCATATATATGATAGAATATAATTATTATATACTGTATTTACAATGATAAGCAAAAATTGATAATATACAGTACTGACTATTATAATAAAGATTTGCTATCACAGATAGCGGAAACAAATATACAAATATTTGTTCGAAATACACAACTATTAAAATTAACAGCAAAATGTACGTAACATCAGATAATTAGACATTAATGTTTGCATAATGTATAGAAAAACTGGAAAAAAATTCCTATTTAAATAAAGGGCAGTAGAATCTTACAATCGCTCTTTCATTATATGTAAGAATTATCATTTACAAATATAACTTTTAAAGCAACAAAAAAATCATATTTTATTTATTTCAAAAGTAGATTTGAACTCTGTAATGAAATTCGTGAAACGCTTATTGTACCATTTTTTAGAAAATTTAGACTAAATATATCACTCGCGGTCTTTAATTTTTCTGGTAAGTTTTAGTAGATTATATAACAAAAATTTATTTATTTTAAGATAAATAATTTTATAATTATCTGCTTGAATATAACTCCAAAATAAAAATGTCTATACTCTGGAATCTTATTCTCGATCCAAAATTTAGTGCAGACCAGATTATTTAGATTCTAAATAATCTGGTCTGCACTAAAACGACTTTGTTCGTTTCGAGATTCGAGATTTGAATATAATGGTTTGTTCCAATTTTGCAGGAATAATGTCGCCAATTCAAGAAAAACAATTCAATCTCAGCACTATATCGAAAAAGTTTACTGAAGAGACTTTACGATTGATCTTAAATAAAGCTCTTGGAAGAGATGACTGTTTATTGGACCGATGGATAATTGTCGGAGACGCTTGCAATAAGGGAGATGGATATTTGAGCGAAGTTGTTCGCATGAAAGTTTATGCAAAGTGTCCTGTTAGTAAGTAAGTATGCCATCATTTCCAATTGGAAATGTTAATTATCATAAAAACTTTACCTAAAAACGTTTTTTCTTTCAACATTTCAACTTTCTAACTTCCCGTAGAGTAGTTATAGTAATGGGCCGAAAATGGAAAATAATTTTTTTTGCATTTTTCGACGTTTTGAAAGTTTCTGAACATGTTGGCATACCTCAGAAATTTATAATAATCTATTTGAAAACATTTAATATTCCTCGAACATTTCGTTACGGTACGGAAAGTTCCAGCAATTTGCCTTAAGGCACGATGCCATACACCACTATTAGTAACATTTTTAAATAGGATTATTAATATATTTTGTTTATGAATTTTTTATGATTTATACAAAATTCAACTTAAAATATTATAGAGTTGAAGAACAACATTCAGTGGATTTAATTATTAAAAGCCTTCCATCAAATATTGGACGCAGAAAGTCGTTTAGATCTACAGACTTTTTTAGAAATGAAATTGCCTTTTATGAACATGTAAGTTTAATTTATAATTAACAAAATCATGACTAGAAATTATTCTTAATTTTTCCTAATCATTTGTGACGAATGATGTAACATGCTTCTGATTTATTGTAGGTACTACCAGCATTCGAAAAGTTACAAAAAAGAAATCAAGTAAACTATAATCTATTTCCAAGGTGAATATTTAATACAATATTTCAAAAAGATATATAAATAAAAGCATACACATTCTTAGTTCTAAGTTTTATTTCTGTTTGAATATTATTTTTCTTTCTCAGATGTTATGCTTGGTTTTGTGATGGAGAAGAAGACTTTTTGGCTCTTGAGGACTTATCACCCGATGGATATGCTTCACCAGTTAGGTAAATTAAAATTATTATATCTATGATTTTTAATTTTAGTACTTTTACAAAAAAGCATCAATAATGAATGGCATCATATGATCATCATTACCATTAGGCTTAAGGTGATAGTGCAATATGAATATTATTACAGATGTATGTTCGAAAACATATACTTATATTTAATAAATTGACACGTTTTATCAATTTTCTGGCCTTACTTTAAGAAGCATTTGAAAGAAAAATTAATTCAAGAGCACAAGGCATTTTGAAAAAGAAGATAAAACCACAAAATTAATTTTACAATCAAAAATTTCATTCAGTTTCATTTTTATAGACAAGAAGGACTCAATAATTTGCAATGTAGATTAGTTATGCTAACATTAGCCCAATTCCACGCACTCTCTTATGCTCTGAAGGATCAGGATTTAGGTGTATACCAGAATATAACCGGAAAATTAGAGGTATGATTAACAACAAAATGATAATTTTTTTATTTAATTTATGTTCTCAAAATTATTGCGTATTTTCAGAAAACAAAATTATTTAATACATTGCTAAACAAATGCTTTTTACATCAGAATGTTTTAAAATCTTTTCTTTAATAAATTGTTTACAAATATTTCTCGTAGTTTTTATATAACAAAGTCATTATTTTAAAATATCAATTTTTTGTTTCTTGATTATAAGTTGTAAGTTGATACGTAATTATAAGTTATAAGTTGATTTGTTTCATGATTTATTTTTATTTAAGGAAACTTACTTTGACGAAAAGTTTAGAGTTTGGGTTCAGGATTTTCATAAGGATCAAAGAGCTTGCATGTTAGATGCTATGGAAAAGGAGCTACCGAACACAATATATCAAGAAAAAATATATGAATTTACAAATGAACATTTCTTTGCAAATATGATTAAAATGGCAACAACTAAAGGTCAATATTCAGTTATAAACCATGGCGACAGCTGGACTCCCAACTTTTTAATAAAATATGCTTCTGAAAATCTTCAAAAAGATGTTCCAAAACATGTTAAACTTATAGACTTTCAATTGGTCAGGTAATAATTTACTTTTTTATATTTACATTTCTATAACATATATTTTGCACTGATTTTGATTCCAAATTTTTATATTTTGCAAAAATGATAATCATGGTTGTCGGAGATAAATTTAAAATATAAAAAAGTGATACACAATTATTATTACATTCAACCCATATAACACTTTATAGGGATGATGATCATGCATAATGAATATATGATAATGTTTAAAAACTAATTTATTTTTACAGAGATGCTTCACCTATTTTAGATCTAATGTTCTTTTTCTATTCGGGCACCACTGAGGATTTGAGAAAATATCATTTTAAAGATTTAATTCAGGTGAAGATTATGTCAATGATATCAATTTTTAAAATTTAACATAAATAAGTTTATCAATAATATATTTTGATACGTTTAAAAAATTTTCAGTATTATTATGACAGCTTATGCTACTCAATTAAAGAATTGGGAGCAGACCCAGAAAAAATGTATCCAAAAAATGCATTTCATGTAAGTTTTTATAATAACATTGTTAGCCTTATGCTTAATAATATAATTATTATATTTCAGGATGAGTTAAAAATATATTCAAAATTTGGTTTAGGATTCAGCTTAGAATCAGTGCCATTCACTCTTATGAAAAATGATGATGCACCAGACTTGGATATGATAGAGGTAAATTTAAAAAAAATGTATATAATATTGATTAGAATTATTGTTTTTAAAAATATTGATTAAAGTTCCTAACAAATAATGAAAATATTTAATTATTATTTTTGTAGAGCGATGATGCTGTGCCTATAACAACAGTATGGAAAGTACGTCCAATTGCTCATAAAGAAGGTCGTTTAAGATTAGTGGATAATGTTCGGCATGCAGTTGATAATGGCTATTTATGATAATTTAGACTTTGTGATTAAAACTTTACAAACTGAATTGAATTAAGTTTATTTTTGATAGAATGTGATTGCTGGGATTTTTATTCCATATCAATATAAATCCATATTAATGAATAATAATTAAATTGCAAAATATGGTCGAAGTTTGCATTGGGAAATGATAGAATAAGCATACTTATTTCATTTAAAAAATTGGATGTTGAACATTTTTTCTTTTATTTTATTTTGCTCGTTATGTGTTTTAATGTTGATTGCAATTTTCTATAAAAATAGTTTTAGTGTCGTTTAAATAAAGAATTGTTAAGCACCAGTTACTTGGTGTTACTGCCCGAATCATATATATATATATATATATATATATATAGAATTGTTTAGAATCGGGCAGTAACACCAAGTAAAAGAACTAAAGTAGTTTTGAAATACTTTATTTATCCATATGTTTCGGTCTTCATCGAGTCCGTCACTGAATGAGACCGTTACTGAATGACTATTCATATTGGCGCCATCTATACTTCTTCTATCTATGACAAATGCAAATATCCACAAGACTTGGGTAATCAATGACGTCTCTCTACCACGTGAGTTTGCTATGTTGGCTGTTCTGTTTTGTACAACTCCATTACCAAAATCCGAAGGTTCTTATTCGTTCTTAGCGGTGTATTCATATCTTAAAATCGTGAAATAAATTTATTGAAAATAGCTGCCTAAGGTAAGAATTAAATGCTTTCGTTTGCTCATTATGATATCACGATTAATGCAAATTGTTAAACCAATTGGCAATTCTCCAATAATTGAAACAAGACAAAATTATCTGTTATAACGTATATAGGGTTTCATAAAATTTTACGTAAATGTATGCAGTGGCGTGTGTCAATATATTGTAATTTAATACATACAGATAGCAGAAATCTGATCTGTCTTGAAATATTGTTATTAATGAAAACAAATGTCATTCTTTGAGTTGGTTTAAATTTATCTTACTTTATGCTTTAAATTATTTGATTTATTAAATTTCCCAGGGCTAATTCATTATGGCATTTCGTGGAAGACAGTCTTCACAAACTGATAGATATCAACGCAATTCAAACTACAACAGTGGTAATAACGATCGATCATCTTCTGGTAATATGAGTAGTCGAAGATTAAATAGGTAACAGTTTGCTGTTATATTCACTGAAGCAATTACTTTTTCATATGTGTGAAATCTTCTGAGTAATTAATGATGATGAATTTCAAATGTGTTCAGTTATTCACTTGTAATTTTTTAAGAAAACTATCAAATTATCATATCCTTAAATAGTTTTTATTTTCTTAGTATTTACTTAAATATAATGCTTTACATTAGTGCATGACAGATATTATTCATACATAAACTTGAGTTTCTTGAGAGCAATATTATATTTTGTCTTTTGTTGAGTTAATATTTAACATTTTTATTTTATTGCGAGGTAGCGAGAATCCGCCATCCAAGAAGTTATATGTTGCTAATTTTCCTTACCATTTTGAAACTGAGGATCTGGGAAAAATATTTTCTAAATATGGAGATCTTACTGATGTTAACATTGTCAAGAGTGATAATGACAAAAGATTTGGATTTGTCACATTCGCTACACTAGAGTAAGTATGCATATTTAAAATTATGTGAATTTAAATAAAAATGTTGCATCTATACCAAGTTTAAATGTCACTTGATTACAAAAAAGTTTAAATTTTTTAGTGAATCCATAGAAGCTAAATGTGAATTAAACAATGCAGCTCCCCTAAGGCTATTTGTGAATTATGCAAAGACGCGTGAAGAGAATTTTAAAAGTTTTGAAGAAGATTCCAGAAGGTAAGGCAATAACTTTTTATTCAGAAACTCGTTCATTCATAAATGCATTCTTTTAATATAGAGGTAGAAGTATGAATAATGATCTGAAGCTACGGCAGCGGTCTCGAAGTTTAGAACCTAATAGGTATTCCCTGTACTGATACAATTATTTATTTATATATATTGAAGTGTATTTATTTTACAAGCCATCAGTATATTACTATAATGAGGCTTATGTCAATATTTTACAAATTATATAATTTAATTAGTTCATTTATTATTTACTTATTTATTTTTAATTTTAATTAATTTTAAAATGTACGTAGTTTGTTTCATAAAAATCGTTTTTTATACATTTTAAGTTTTTTTTAATCAAATTAATAAGTATTTTTACAATATAATTATTTTGTTTAATAAATTTTAGGAAATTTTATGTTAACTATTTTGTATTAGTTTTAGGATTGCGCAGACAGATGCAATGCATGATAATTGTGTAAGATGTGGTGATAAAGCTAGTAGTAAGTGTAGTTCTTGCGGAATAAAGTACTGTTCACCAGCATGTCAAAATGATGATTGGCCAGACCATGTAATGAAATGTTTGAAAAAACCGTAAGTACATGTATTACTTTAGCAGTATCAATCTTTCCTTTGTTTTGTCAATGTATCCTAAATATTTAATGAAGAAGCATATGGTTATATTTATAGGCTATGATTAATTATAATTTTAGTCTAACTTTTATATATGTGTTTGTTTAAAAAAAAAGGTATTTGTGTTTGGGAAATAATTTAATAAATTTTAATATTGCAGGGAACTTGTTGTTTTCAAAAATGCTACATCAAATATGAGTAGCACACAGTGCGAAGACCAACCTAAATTTAAAATACAACAGCCTCGTGAAAGATTTTTGAGCAGATCTTCAAACGTATCAAACAATCGTGAGCCTAGTGTCAATGAACTTGTCAAGGAAATTACAACTGAATTCAAAAAAACTAATGTGAACAAACCTAATGGAGGAACGTCAAATATATCTTCACAAAATAAAACTTTACCAGATGGAATTTTATTTAATAAAACTTCAGATAATTCAGCAAACATTTCACCTAAACAAAATACATACAATATAAATCAGAGAACCAAATTATCCCAGAATATTGATCTCAAAGATTCCTCACAGGGTAGAGTGATTGGTATGCCATCAAGTAATGAATCTTTCCACAAAGCATTGAACGTTCCTGACAAATTGCATAATACATCAAAAAATTGTCCCGAGATTAGTAAAATTGAGAAAACAGAAATTAAAGTGAATAAGAATGCAGTAGTAAATCAACAAAACCCTATGTTTCTTGCACTACAGCAAATAAAACAAGCTAAGGCACCTGTAAAAAGCCCTTGGGAGTGTACTGAGCAGCTTCTAGAAAAAGAATTTACAGCAGTAAGTCTATAGAAGTAAATTTGCTGTAGAAAAATATGGTTTATATTTCATCTAAAAGTAGTTAGAATGATGCATTTTAATTCAGAAACTAATATAAATAAAAAAAATGTATTTTTATTATAGTTAATTATTACAACAATAATCATAATGTATAATCAATGGTAATCATTACTTCTAGGTAAGTGTTGTGCATTGTTGGGATGATGGTAAATTTAGTGCAATTTTGAAGGAAAAAGAAAATACTTCAATACAAATTATGAACAAGGCAAATAATGAAACATTTTCATTGGAGCATCTTACTGATATTAAAATTGGAGGATTATGCATAGTTCAATACCAAGCAATAAAGTAATATTAATAACTATGAGTAGATATTATATTGTTTAATATTGACATTTTAAATATTTATTTTTTAGATACCGTGGTAAAATACTTAGTACTTCACCATATAAAGTAAATTTGTTAGATTTTGGATTTGATGTGACACCAAGTAAAGAAGACTTATATCAAGCACCAGATTATTTTGCTGAAATTCCAGCACAGGCAATATGTATGAAGCTTGCATCTGGTGGACTTTCTAATTATGCAGTTGTACTCTTTGATTATTTATCAGTAAAACCTACAGGAGAGGTATGAGCTTTTTTATTATAATTATAATTTCATAGTCGATCAGAACAGTTCAACCTTTGGAAACATTGGGAAAGGTTTTCCAATAAGAAACCTTCATTGATTTTTAATCTTAAGTTTTGTTTAAAATCAGATGGCAAATTTTTGTCGTTTTAAGTTGATTATTTACTATCCAATTTAATATAAATGAGAGGTTTTGATAAATATGTTATGTTAACTTTGTTTTAATTCATATTCATGAACCTACCTGAAACCCAATTTGTTAAATGGTAGCTGATTTTTTTTTTTTTTTTGTCTACTCAATATTATATTGTCAATTGAGTTCAAATTATATTAACTTGTATAAAAAATCAATGATGGGGATTAAAACTTCTCAGTCTCTCAGTAATTTTATGCTAATTACAATTATTTACTAAATGACTTTTAGTTTCTGTTATCATTCCGATTTTTTAAAATAACTATTACTGACAAAACATTTTTTTAATGAACATAGTTTTATCATTTAGAAATTAATACTCTTATAGTTTTTTTTTATCTTCAACCTAACATTTAATTATTTTTAAAGATTGAGTTTTAACTTCGCTCATTTAGATCATACAACACATAACATAATTTTTAACATTGAATTTGAAAACAAGATATAACGATATATAAGCATTCCATTTTACATTTGTTAAATGTAACATCATACTGCTTTTCAGAAAACATTAAGCAATATTTAAATTTTATTACTTACATAATGGTATTTTTATTAACATCAGTATTTTCATTGGCAGGTATCTGGTAATGCACAAATAGTGCAGCTGGAAAATGAATCATATGATTCTGGTGCAAGTTCTAAGAAGGAATTAGATGTCGCATTTCAAAATCAAAACTTTCTAGAGAATTCGAATGAAAAGCAATTAAGTAGCTTTATTATAAATAATGAAAATGCTTTAAATAAAGCATTCACAGAGAATAAATTGGAACCTGTTATAGAAAGTGCTCCCATTTGGAAAACAATGGTTTCTTTACCAAAAACTTTTACTAAAGTAAGCGCATTAACAAATGCAATTTTTGAGGCTTCTCTTTTTTATGAATAAAATAATTTATGAGTATGTCAAGACTAAGCTTAAATATTTATATTTAAATAAATATAATTTTTCAGTGAACCTTTCATATTTTTTTAGGCATTTTTTGTAAAATTTTTTTGTTTATTTCTGTATATAGGTTCATGTAACATGTATTGATGGTCCCGATATATATGTCACCATTGCATCGAATATGGAGGATATTGTATTTCCACTATTATCCAATGCTAATAATTCTCCAAAAAACACTGTACAAAATGTATCTCCTGAAATGCTCTGTTTGGTCAACTTTGAGGGACTTTTGTAAGTGTATTTTTATGTTTTCCTGTTACCATGAGATTTCTTTTATACAATACATGTATAAATGATTATTGAAATGAAGAAATGAATCATTAATTCTTACATTCTGATCAATTTTTTTTTCTTAGATACCGAGCAATGATTAAAAGTGTAAATCCTCTAAGAGCATATCTATTGGATTATGGCAACGTTTTGGATCTAAAACCAAGTGAAATATATTCTGCTTCTGATGTCCAAGGTTCGTCACCTGCACAAGCTATCCATGTCAGACTTGCTTCAGGATCCAGAATTATTCCTCAGATGGACGACGAGCTGTCACTTAGAGCAATAGACAAAGTAAGTATTTATTATCTCGTCTTCTTCTATAAGTGAAATATACTATAAGTGTATCAAATTAATATTTTATTTAAATCTTTATTTAATTTAATTTTTATTTAGGATGGTGACATTTATGTTGCTGAAGTGGAAGGTGATGAATCAATTCAAGATAGTGTTCCTCCAAAAAATAAAAAGTATGTATGAAATAGTCATGACAAGAGTCATAAGACATTGAACAATTTGTTTGTTACCTTATGATGTATTATGAATATTTTATTTAATAAATTAAATTGAAAAAAAAATAAGATTTTGGTATATGCTGATTTAGTAAACTTAATTATGAAACTGTCTTATTTTTAATTATGAAATACGACACAACTTTAGAAGCAGGAATACTTTCCACAAATTTTCTGCTATCTAGGCAATTATTTAGTTTTTCTGATTTGTGTTATCAATGTTTTTTTCCTCAGACATGCTATTGATTACTTGGAATTGAGAATGCAGGGATCAGTTACTATTATTGAGCGTCCATGTTCAAATAAATTCTGTTTGAATTTGAATGTAAGGGACATTTTGAGTTTGCAACAAGTGCTTAAAGAAGATATACAAAATTCTGTTCCGACTTTATCCATTACAAGGTAAGGGATACTTCTTATAAAAAAATATTAGCATGAGGAGTTTTTTTTATTTAATGTATAATAGAACATGAAGATCAAGTTTATTTAATTAAAAATGATAAAATATATAAATGAATTAAAATGTCAAGTAAGATATTTTAATATGAAGCTATATACCTTGTTTGTACACATAAATGTTTTACTAAATATATGTGAAGTATTTCTTAAATTTCAAAAGCATGTAAAATTTAAATTTTATCAAAGCTTTTATATTTATAATGCAAAGTTATGTTTTAAAATAGTTTAGATTGGCATAGTTATTATAAGAAACACTATTTTTTGCCATCATTCAGATTTTTTTTTCTGCATCAGTTGTATGTCAAGAAAATTTTCTTTAATATTTTCACTATTTTACTGTGCTAATCCTTGATAATAATTTCAGACCTAGTGTAGGTGATCATGTCATAGTCAAAACGATTGACGACTATCACAGAGCAAAAGTATTGCACAATAAGGAAACAGTGTCCTATGTTAGTTTGATAGATGTTGGAAAAGTAGTGTCGAGCAACCAAATATTTGGATTTCCAGAAAAATTAAAAAAATATCCACCTATGGCAGTGCTAGGTACTCTACAGCCTATTAATTGCAAGGCAATTGATTTAGAGACAGCTTTAAAAAAGGTACAACGGAATCTCATACTGGTTCTATTATTAGTTAAGGAGAATGATCTATAAGAAAATCTTTTATTTCAGTAATATTACTTCAATGCTATATAAAATTGTCAATATGTATATTATAACAGTATTTTATTGGAAGTATATAATAAATGATCTAGAAATTTTGCAAAAAGAAAATCCAAAAAGATCATGATATAACTACATGAAATACTAAGAATAATTTTATGCACATATTACTTTAATGGCATTTTTTATTTGTATGTGATCTTTTAGGATAAAATAGAATTCACTGTGATGTCCATTGGGAATGATAAGGTTGTTGTGGAATGTAAAGTAAATGCGGTCACATTTGCATTGGAACTTCAATCATGGGAACCATTAACAGAGCAAGTTAAACATGGACGAATTTACTTGAAGCCATTAGAAAAATGTCAAGTTTTTCTCACACATTTTATAGACCAAAAAAATTTGTTCATTAGAAATACGACGCCTGAACTAGATAGGCAATATGAAGAAGATTTGCAAAATGTGGCAACATACAGCATTCAAGGTAATATTAAAATATTCATTTAATTTAGTTTTTTTTTTTATGCTGACAAAACTACTTTTGAAATTTATTTATTTATGACTAAGGCAATAAAAATTAAAGCTGTTTTTATAACGCTTTTCAGGTTTTTAAATATGAATATAAATGATTTTCTTATAAAAATTCATAGAAATAAATTGCACTATTTTACCATAAAACTAAAGAAACTATTTGTTTTTGTTCTAATTGGAAAGTCATTTGTATCATATCACCACCGTGTCCATAGTAACTTATTTGTGTTTCTGGGTGTGTGTTTAATAATAGAATGAATCGACATATTATTTTTAATGCCAAATTTTAATAAAGCCGTACATATTGCATGGGTGTTCAATTTGTACAAATAAAATATTTAGTTGCTTTTTGTTGCTAACTATGTTAACATCCAAATCAAAGTACATTGTTATACATAAATATTCCTTAATCTTTAGGACAATAATCGTAATTGCAGTCTTGTGTAACAAAATTAGTTTTCTTAGTTTAATAATTTGACATTGTATGTTCTAATTACCGAAAATTTCTTACAGCAAAAACACTTATAACACTACCAGTAGTAAATGAATTGGTGCTTGCAAAATTTGTGGACGGTGTATTTTACAAAGCTATTGTAAAAAAAGTAGATAGAGATAATGTGGAAGTCTTCTATACAGCATATGGAAATACTGAAATTGTTAAATTAAGTGATTTAAGAGCAATTTCTGAGAATTTGAAGAAAGTGAATTTATTCATTCGCAAAGTGGCTTTGGCAGAAGTACCAGATTTACCTCTGACTCTTCAAGTGACTACTTTAATCAATGATATTGTCAACAGTAGTCCAGCTTTAGAATTTACCATGGTGAGATAATTTAATTATATTTGTAATCGGAAAGTTCTTCTTGTACAACGATTTGCTTTTTAAATATTACAATAGTAATACATGATTTTTATTTTAACTGGATTATAAATTGTAACTTCTTTTAGACGCCATGCAAAACTGCAAGTGCACAGAATCAAATTTATTTAATGTATCCTGAAGGCACCTTTTTAAATGAAAAGGTTTCTCGTTTAATTACACCCGTTTGGCACGACATAAAGGACATGTCTAAAGCAAAACAAGAAGGTAATAATTTTATATAATAAAATATGCATACTTATAGCTAAATAAGATTTTTTTTTTATATTTTAAATTTGAGAAAGAATTGCAAATGAATTACACTGCACTTTATAATTAGTACCCATTGTTTTTTTATACATATATAAATTATTAATTCACAGATACTCTTCTCAACCAAGATGTTCTTATGAAAAATTTAATAAAACAGCCTGAGATACCTGTTGGTGACAATATTGAATTATTTATAGTGGATACCACAAATATTGTTCTGAACATTTTTTTTGCTTGTGTTCCTGATAAAGATTGCCTAGTAAACATGCTGATTGAGGTTCCATCTCAATTGAAAAATTATGCAACATCTATTGATATGCCATATAATCCGAGAATTGACGAATTGTGTATTGCACTATTTCAAGGTAAATTTATCAATATGATTAGTTTTCGTTTATTCCAATAAATTGTATTAAGCGAAGGAGAAGTTTGTTTTTGCCACAAAAACATACCTAATTTTGTTTTCTTAACCTTTCAAGACATTGAGAAAAATTACTTAAAAAAATAGAGTCTAGTATGTGAGTCAATTTTTCACCTTTTGTCAACACTTTTTTCAAAAATAGCTGATTTGATTTCAAAAATTTAAGTCCTTCATTAAAACTTGATAAATACTCGCCTTGAGTATTTTTGGGAGACGATTAGCCAATACGTTTCTTTAGAATATGCAAAACTTTTTGTCCATTTTTCAAATACAATTCTGAACCGATTTTGAAAATTTAAAAATCATTACCTGCACTTGTTTGGGAAATCACTTTTGCCTGAAATTATTCACATATACATAACTATTTAACCACAACAATCCATCTCTGATTCCTTCCACCGCGATACTTTAAACGCGTTTTTCTTTTTTACTTTTTAGTTTTCTCATAACTAAAGACTGGTTCTATATATTGTTTTTAAAAATGTTTTTTAATTTCTTTTACATTCCATTTATCTAAAAAAAGTTAAAGCTTCCTAGTTGATATCAATTTTAAATTATTTTCACAGAAGTAGATGAGCAATGCGTTTGGCATCGGGCATATTGCTTAAAACATGAAGGGGACACTTGTTATTTAGCGTCAGTTGACATGGGAATCATGCAATATGTGGATATAAAAAATATTCGGCGTATGAGCACTGATTTTCTTGATGTGCCCAGTTTATCTGCACTGTTCTCCATACAAGGTATATTTTTAATATGTAAATTCAAACTCAAATAGTTGATTTTAGATATATAATAATTAATAATATATATATATATATATATATATATATATATATATATATATATATTGAAGTATGTGAGTTTGATGTTATATATTTTGATGAGTTATTTTAATTCGGGCAGTAACACCAAGTAAAAAAAACTAAAGTAGTTCGAAGTTAACTAAAGTTGTCGAAACCATGTATTTACTGTTCGGAGTTTAAACTTAAACATAACTTGTTAAGTTATCATGGTTATTAGTGTGTTTTACCATTTGTGATGTTAAAAAATATATATTTTATCAATGTGCACATACTCATACCATGGATTAATAATGGTTTCATATGCTATATTAGGATACAAAATTTTAATTTGATTACCACTGAATGAAGGCTAAGATGCTAGCCAAAACGTATGGATTTTAAATAAATAAACTTAAAAAAAAAAAACTCTCATACTATTTTTATTGATGTTACGCCCAACTTTTTAACTCAAATTAAACATATATATCAACATCAAATTCAAGACTATTCAAATATATATGTATATATATGTATATATATATATATATATATATAAAATTAGAGATTTAAATATAGAGTACTATATATACATATAAGATATTTATATATAAATATAATATGGTTTATAAACATAATGAAGGTTTGCCTGAACCTCCACTGTCGGACGGAGCTGTAAAAATTTTACAAGAGGCTTTAAAATCTTGTGAAACAACTGTCAAGTTTGGTAGTGTTCAGAAAGAGGATGATGGCAGTTATTCAGTTCAATTAGCAACTGATCTTTTAAATCGTGTGTTATCAGCAGCTTGATTGTGTATATTCACAAGGACCACATGTTGATATTGTTAAATCATGTTTTATGTAATTGACAACAGTGTTTATGTAATTACTCTAATATCGTAGATTAATAATTCATATGGATTCTAAACTTATTACAAATGAAGATTTATAAGATCTGCAATAAAGAAAAATTATATCCCATAATATGATTAAAAATCAGTAATTATTTTAATTATGTACTGGACTTTTATATATTAAACCTTTTAACTACATTAATTTTTAATCAATATCTTGCAATATTAGTTGGGTTAGTTATATAAGTTACAAAAAAAAAAATTCTGAAAAAGATTTTTTTTTTCAATTTTTTTTTCAAAAAATTTTTTTTTCCTTGTCAAACATTTTAACATGCTTGAATTGAGTGAATGTAAGATATAATGTATATAAAAAGTCCATGACTTTTTAACAAGATTGAAGTGAGTAGATAATGTGGATGTTTTGATTTGAATGAAAAACCATGGACTATCCTGATAGTAAGTTATAATATGAAATTTTCTCTAAATATTATCATTGATTAAATGTTATCGCTATTGTAGCTAAATCGAGACAAAAGCACTTTCTCATGATGTTGACTCTATAAGTATATTTTGGTAGGTTTTATATCTAGTTGCTTTTGTTTCTGAGTATTTATAATAATCTTCATGAACCTTAGAAAAAAGTACTTATACTTGTGAAATGGTGGAAATTCAAATGTAAATATTTATATACATTGAAATATATGTTCATTAATATTATTATGTTTTCGGGTATTAGAACTTCGGTCTTGCTTCATGAGGATTCTACCGAAGCTTTTATTTTCAATTTTTTTTTTCAAATTTTTTTGAAAATTTTTTTTGCCAAAAATTTTTTTCCCCAAATTTTATGACAATTTTTTTCTCAATTTTTTTTTTCCAGAAAATTGTTTTAGCAAATTTTTTCCCCAAAAATTTAAAAATTTTTTTCTCCCAAATTTTTTTTCTATGATCGACTTTTTGTCTGACCCCAGTATTGAGTTCTTTTTCACTTTCATCATTATCTGATTGATAACTTTATCAGAGGAAAGTGAGATCCCTAGACAATATTAGAATACTCTTCTTTTATCTATGATTAGAATACCCTGTGTTCATCATACACTGGTCAGATCACTGTTCTATTGCCAGGGTTTCATATATTCATTTGTATATATAGTTGTCAATTATTTAGTAATTGATCTTTTTTGATCAACACTGTCCTTAATTTTTTATCAAAAATTAATTTAATTTTAATTATTACTATTTAATTAAAAACGTCAAATTCTATAATTTCTTTAAATAATTTATCATAACCATTATTTATATATTTCAAGTAGTATTAACACATCGAAATAAATGGCACAACATCAAAATTAGAATCATTTCAACAATCGATATATTAATTTATATGTCATATAGTTCTTCTAAAGTAAATAAATCTGGAAAAAGTTCAAATGTTCATATGAATTTGATTGAAAAAATAAACTAGTTGGTATTCGTATTTTGCCTTGAGGCAAGTTACATGAACTTCAATCATACATATCGAACTTACTTTTCGATATGTGTAAATTATTTACTTAATCAATAAAAAACTAGTGGGGTGGGTGGCATCGTGCCTTAAGGCAAATTGCTGGAACTTCCCGTACCGTAACGAAATGTTCGAAGAATACTGAATGTTTTCACATAGATTATTATAAATGTTGTAACATTGTCTAATATTTATAAGAATTATATAAACTGAATTGCAAAGTTGAAATTATTTGTTCAAAACTATAGTCAAAATTAAAAATAAAATATAAATTATTTTCGATATACAAAAATTAAAAAAAAAAAAAAAAATTGATACAAATTTTTTTTTTCCAAAATCTATTATTTTGTTAAGACAAGCAGAAAGTTCTTTGAATCAATTGAATCGGACGCTTAGTTCTCTCAAAAACTGCAATTTTTTGTACATTTAGCTCCGTATCTTCGAAATGGCTGGGCCTGCCTTTGCGAAAAACTAATAACCACTTCTCCCAATCATTACTAATTGAATGTTTTTTAGATCATTCAAATCGGATGCTCCGTTCTCTCAAAAAGTCGATTTCTATTTTCTGCACTCTTTGCTCTTTATCTCCGTAACTGCTGGACCTGCCTTTGCCAAAAACTAATCAGCACATCTCCTTATCAATAGGAATCGAATGTTTTTTGAACCATTCAAATCGGTTAATCCGTACGCCCGAAAACGTGGGCGAAAAATTGTATCCATACATACATACACACACACACATACACATCCATTTTTTATGAAGTATGTCAAAATGCTCAGAAACCTTCAAAACGTCGAGAAATGTAAACATTTTCAATTCCGATTTTCGGCCCATTACAATAACTTACCCTACGGGAAGTTAATAAATTAATTTATGAGTGATTCAAACTATTCCGAGTGGATTTATTCCACATAATTGAAAACGACTTTGCATTTTACAGTATATATTCAAATAGCTAAAATTCACAATGTTTTAAATTTCTATTTGAATTTCGCGCTTTAAATTGTACAAGTGGCCGACACATGTTGCTAAGTTCAGTCGCCTCAATTGTCAAAGAAATTTTCGTGAATTAACATGTACTCGCGTTAATTAAGACTTTTTAATTAAATCTTTGATTAGTTGTAATTATTTCATGCATCAAAACGTGTAATTAATTTAGTAGATCAATTTGATATAATAAATTTATCTTGAAACGTTAATTAAAAACCAAAAAATGGGTATGTTTGGAAGTGCCTAGTGTACCTTGAATAGTTTGATAGTCTCCATTTTGAATCAATTTTGTAATTAAACAATTTATTTACAGCGCCAATGTATCCTTTAATTATATATATGCAATTATCAATAGTATAATTTATATATGTGCTTTTGTAGGTTATACTTGAGTACTTCTACCACATATCTGTTATTATCGAATTTTAAGTTTACGAAAGTCTCTAATATGTCATATGTCGTGTATTATGTAAAGACTTTACTCGGACAATTGAAACAGGTCAAATAGACTTGTAAAAGACTAAAGTTATGTAGTGGTTCTAAAGTAGTGATTTTGTGTCGAGTACTTGAGATTTCTGTCAGTTTCGAGAAATGAGTTAGTGTTCTGGGATCTGCTGTAGAGGATATCTTACAATGTAAGTGCAAAGCATGTTTTTTACAAAGCGAGTCAAGAATATATTTCTGATATATAGAGGCATTTATCGTACTACATCTAATGTACTTATAATATTTCAAATATTCAATATTTGACTTATATATATATATATATATATATATATATATATATATATATATATATATATATATATATATATATATATATTAAACTGTCCTAATTTATTTACTACTTTATACTAATTTCTTGTTTACAACCTATTTACAAAATCTAACAGGAAGAACAATGATGACCGCGTAACCTACATTAACCTACATATAACTTGCAACGTGTTTTGTAATTATTAAACAAAATAATGATTCGAATTGTTATTACAGTTCAATATTTATATATGCATTAATTTTTTTTAATTTTGAATTTAAAGCAGTCAAATAATTTTGAAAATCTTTACTTCAACACAATATATTGTCATCTTTAGTGAAACTATAATTTCAGTAGCAATAAATAAAGAGATTTCACTCATAATTTATTTTCTGAAAGGGGTTTACAATTAATGACCGAGTTTGTATTACATGCTACTTTTTATGCTTGTAATAATAATATTTCTCAATAATAGTAGGTATTTTTTATGCTTGTTTTTCATATTAAATAAAATTAATTGAAAGGTGCTTTGAGAACTTATCCCTTTGTTATCCGATATCATTTATAAGCAGCCTGTGTATACTTTAGTGGAATATTTTCTGGCTCGTGCATTATTAATATAGTTGTATACATATATCTGCTGAAAATATTGTTTATATTATAATATTTGATTCTATATAGTTTTTTTTAATTATGTATACTTCATTAATTTTTAATACATAAAATACAATTTATCTTTTGTTTATTCAACTACAACTATTATGCAAATAAAAGATTTTGAATTAATTTGGCAGACATATGTGTAAAAAACTATGTTTTTATTTAATTTGTTGTGGGGAAAACATGCTGATTCAGTTTTTTTTTTAATTTATTCATACAAGTGCCTTTTACATATGTTCTAAATCAATATAAAATAATAAAGTTTGTACTTCTCGTATGTGTCAATTACATTGAAAGTAATTTATATTATTACAATTTCATAGTCAATCAGAATATCTTTTATTCTATAAATAGCAGATTTTGTGTGGAATTCAGAATTATAATTTATATTAAATTTTTGTTACCAAATTATTAGTTAACCAATACAGCTTTTTGAATGCATTGTTTACTTGTACGTTGAAGGGTGGCTTTAGCACCCCTCCTTATGTAACTCCTAAATTGATGGTATTTTGTTACAAATTACAAATTTACTTTGTTACAAAAATCTCTTTCTTATAAAACCTCTTTTTCATTATTCTACGGAAACAATTTTTAAAATTACATTTCCATTATCAAGAATCATGTGTTTTCCCTGTAGCGATGTTGACTGCATGAACATTCTTATTTATAGATGACCCGATTGTTGGTTTTGATCAAAATATTTCAAATACTCAATATGACTTTTCAAGTAATCAATTAATGCAGCTTTTAAAAGCTAAATAGTAGATAAATTATAGATTTTTGTTCTTTTATTGCTAAAAAACAACTTTGATCAGGACATACAATCAAAGTTTCGAAGAGTTGACTTGAATGATTAGACAAAACATAATTTTGTATACAAGTTTATTATTTGATTTATTTTTAACTCAATTTCTAAAGGATATCAATGAGCTTTTTAACAGTTTTGAATTTTTTAATTTTAAAGTTTTTGAATATTTTTTAATATTTCATTTTACAAGTTTTTTTTGAATTTCTTTTATAACTTTTTCCAATACTTTCAATACGTTCAAGTCACTACATTTGTTTTTGTCTCGATTAATTGTAAAGGTTTCACATGTTTTATCAAGTCATATCAACAATTTTTATTCGATTAACATTATTTTATCTCATCGATTAATACATTTTTTTTTTTTTTAAGTCCAAATTTTCTGAAACCTTTTCGATTAAGACTGA